CACCACACCAACACAGAAAAAATTCATATTACTAGAACACATTGGTATTGAAGAAACTAGATACTGCTCTGAAATATCACTTACTCGAACCGTCCTGACCGCGTAGCTCAGTTGGAAGAGCATTGGGCTAGTATTCGAAAGGCCGTAGGTTCGAATCCCACTGTGGCCGGGCATATTTTTCAAGCTCGCCCGGTGTGGATATGCAATCAGAGTAACATCGCAAACATATTATTCACCTGAGTACACAACACCAACACAGAAAAAATTCATATTACTAGAACACATTGGTATTGAAGAAACTAGATACTGTTCCGAAATGTCACTTAGTGTCTTAGTCGAACCGTCCTGACCGCGTAGCTCAGTTGGAAGAGCATTGGGCTGGTATTCCAAAGGTCGTAGGTTCGAATCTCACCGTGGCCGGGCATATTTTTCAAGCTCGCCCGGTGTGGATATGCACTCAGAGTAACATCGCAAACATATTATTCACCTGAGTACACAACACCAACACAGAAAAAAAAATCATATTACCAGAACACATTGGTATTGAAGGAACTAGATACTGTTCCGAAATATCACTTACTCGAACCGTCCTGACCGCGTAGCTCAGTTGGAAGAGTATTGGGCTAGTTTTCCAAAGGTCGTAGGTTCGAATCCCACCGTGGCCGGGCATATTTTTCAAGCTCGCCCGGTGTGGATATGCACTCAGAGTAACATCGCAAACATATTATTCACTTGAGTACACAACACCAGCACAGAAAAAAAAAATTCATATTACTAGAACATATTGGTATTGAAGGAACTAGATACTGTTCCGAAATATCACTTACTCGAACCGTCCTGACCGTGTAGCTCAGTTGGAAGAGCATTGGGCTAGTATTCCAAAGGTCGTAGGTTCGAATCTCACCGTGGCCGGGCATATTTTTCAAGCTCGCCCGGTGTGGATATGCACTCAGAGTAACATCGCAAACATATTATTCACCTGAGTACACAACACCAACACAGAAAAAATTCATAATACTAGAACACATTGGTATTGAAGGAACTAGATACTGTTCCGAAATGTCACTTAGTCGAACCGTCCTGACCGCGTAGCTCAGTTGGAAGAGCATTGGGCTGGTATTCCAAAGGTCGTAGGTTCGAATCCCATCGTGGCCGGGCATATTTTTCAAGCTCGCCCGGTGTGGATATACACTCAGAGTAACACCACAAATATCGTATTCACCTGAGTACACTACACCAACACAGAAAAAATTCATATTACTAGAATACATTGGTATCGAAGGAACTAGATTCTGTTCCGAAATATCACTTACTCGAACCGTCCTGACCGCGTAGCTCAGTTGGAAGAGCATTGGGCTGGTATTCCAAAGGTCGTAGGTTCGAATCCCACTGTGGCCGGGCATATTTTTCAAGCTCGCCCGGTGTGGATATGCACTCAGAGTAACATCGCAAACATATTATTCACCTGAGTACACAACACCAACACAGAAAAAATTCATAATACTAGAACACATTGGTATTGAAGGAACTAGATACTGTTCCGAAATGTCACTTAGTCGAACCGTCCTGACCGCGTAGCTCAGTTGGAAGAGCATTGGGCTGGTATTCCAAAGTCGTAGGTTCGAATTCCACCGTGGCCGGGCGTATTTTTCAAGCTCGCCCGGTGTGGATATGCACTCAGAGTAACATCGCAAACATAATATCTTTGTAATTACCCCTGACCAAATCAAGGTTAGTGGAAATATAATATCTTATCTCAACGATCATTATTCTCAATTTTGAATAATCAAATCAGCTAAAGTAGCTTTGAACCATTACTTTGTTGAGACTTGAGACTTTGAAACAAGTGATCTCTTTCAGGCGTATTTGGTCTATTTTACTGGCTTAACCGCATTATGATTGGTTACATGTTTTGATGCCATCAAAGATATATTTCGATTGGCTGAAAGATAATTGGTCATGAGATGTGCACGTGTACGCTTTGCCAATACACAGATGACCTTTGATACAAATGACAGCTGTGGGTCTGTGAACCTTGTACCGCACGCAAAATATTCAAATCCGATTGTCATATAAATTAGACTAAATTTGTGGACAGCATTGCCCATTAACTTAAATTTATAATATATATAAATTAGCTACAAGTTAAAAGTTAAACAAACTAAGATACGTGATTTCTCAAAGTTCTCGGCTGAGAATTTTGTTAGAGGTCTTTCTTGCGTACAATGGGATCAATGTCTTTCTCATACTAATGTTGATAAGTCATTTTCTTATTTTTACAATCGTCTTAACAGTTGTGTTAATAAGCATGCACTTATAAAATTAGTTTCTAAGCGTAAATTAAAGCAATTTGTCAAACCATGGACAACAAAGGGAATAAGGTAATGGGAATAAGGTAATGGGAATAAGGGAATAATGTCTGGTAATGAAATTAAGTATAAACGTTACAGAAATACCATATCTAGTCTAACGAGATTGAGTAAGAAACAGTATTATTATGATTATTTCAATACTCATTTAACAGATATGAAAAAGACTTTGGGCAGGAATAAATCATTTCTCAACCGCAAGATTAAGAATAATAAGGAATCTCTGGAATTAAAGATCATAACAATAATAATGAAATTGTTCGGGATCGCTCATGTGTATCAAATGTTTTAAATGTGCATTTTGCTTCAATAGGTTCTCAATTGGCAAGTAATTTACCATCTATATAGGTAGACCATACACGTTTTCTTTATAAATTTCAGTCACCAAATACATCATTTTTCTTTGAGCCGATAGGTGAGGATGAGGTAAGAAAGGAAATCTTGAGTCTGGCTAATGGCAAATCTCTACTCTTGTCCTACTCAATTATTAAAATATGCTCATAATATCATCATTTAATTAATATGTCGATCTCAGTAGGAGTATATCCGTCTAAACTAAAAATGGCTCAAATCATACCAATATTTAAACATGGAGATAGTCTTGATGCAAATAATTATAGACCCATTTCTTTACTTTCTAATTTTAATAAAATATTTGAAAAATTGATGTGTAAAAGAATGGAAACATTTATTGATGCCAGTAATATATTGTGGTCTTCCCAATATGGCTTTCGTAAAGCACATTCAACTCAACATGCAGTACTTGATCTTCCTAATGTTATACAAACAACTATGGATAAAAGCTTATTTTTATGTGGGATATTTATAGATTTCAAAAAACATTTGATACTGTTGATCATTCCATCCTGCTTAGCAAACTAAATTATTATGGTTTTCGAGGTATCATAAACCAATGGTTCTCAACTTATTTACAAGGTAGAACCCAATCAACTGAAATCGGCTATCATGTTTCCAATAAAATGAAAGTTAGTCACGGTGTACCTCAAGGATCAGTTCTGGGTCCATTGTTGTTTTTACTTTATATATATGATATTCAGCCTTGTTCTGATAAATTTAGTTTTTATTTGTTAGCTGATGACACAAATCTGCTTTATGCCGATAAAAATCTTAAAAAGATTGAACAAATTGTAAATACTGAATTGCAAAATTTAAATATTTGGCTTGTTTCAAACAGATTGACTCTTAATGTGAAAAAGACAAATTTTGTCATATTTCGCCCTTATCAAAAGAAAATTTGCAATTTACCTAAATTAATTATATTTGATTATGATCAAAACAAAAATGTATCTTTAGAATATAAAGAGTATACCAAATTTCTTGGAATTTTAATTGATAGTAACTTATCATGGAAACATCATATAGATCATATTGCTAATAAAATTAGTAAAGTGGTCGGGACTATTGCCAAATTACGTCATTTCGTCCCATTAAATTAAACACTTTTTTAAGTATTTATAATTCTTTAATTTTACCGTATTTAACAACTTATGGTTTGACCGAGCGTGCAAGTCACATTTAAATAAAATTTTAATTCTTCAAAAGCGAAACCAATAAACTTGGGAAACAAAACTGTACAACAAGTCTCAAGTTATAAATTATTAGGTGCTTATCTCAGGGATGATCTGAAATAGATATACACATTGATTACATCTATATCGTCTTACGTATATTAATCCGTGTTGGTGTTAAGAAGAGAAGCGTTATTAAAGTTATAAATGTAACAATGATCCGCCCAATTTTGGAATAAAATATCCCTGTTTGGCAATCAATTCCGGATCATCTATCTCAGAAATATAATCTATTCGGAAATCAAAGGCTTTGTCTTTGAGAATAGTTTTTCCGGAAGCTGATTCATGCAACGACGCTCTTGAACTAGTTAAGCTAAATTTACCCTTTTTTTAAAGTCCAGAAAAAATTTTAACTCCCCCCCCCCCCCCCCTCCCTTCCGCTCGCCAACATTTTGTTGGAAAAATAGGGCCCACGAAATAAAAATTTGCCCCGAGGCGACGAATTTCTCTGATAGGCCCTGCTAGTTTCTTACATTCTTCTTTTCTTGTACTCAGTAGTTTAATGTTACTTTTCTGTAATGCTTCTTCATAAGATTAAGTGGGACACGCTATTTTTAAAGCTTATTTTTGCATCGACTCTATAAGGTCTGATAATGTATTTGGAAGAGCCAAAACTGGTGATGCATATCCCAATTGAGATCTTGTAACTGTACAATAAAGATGAACAATGTTTAATTAATTAAGGGTCAGACCAGGTTTCTTTAGTAGGCGTAAAGCATAAATCCGTGAATTCGCCTTCTTTAAAATTTTATCTACGTGTATATATATCCCATGAAAGATTGCTGGTCAACGACACACCTATAGTAGTTTTATTTAAAACTAGGCCACCGTTTGTTTTCTTCCACGTCGAGTATGAGCTTTTAATTCGCACACACTGTTCACGATTGCTAAGAAAATCTTTGATCCACTTCACTATCTCAGGATGTACACCGAGATTTTCCAGCTCGCATATTATGATATTATGATCAACATGCAAGATAGAATCCCTTTTTAAAGTCTGCAAAAAACAAACTAGCAGAGCAGGAACCGTTTTAAAGGGCAGACAAAATGATGTACAGGAGGTATGCTAGAGCGTGCATGAGTCGTAGATTTCCTTGGTAACGCAAACTGGTTCGTGTCTAATTTATATACTCTCAGGTTATTCCTCAGCCTATTCCTAGTCGTTCTGAAGCAAACGCGGATGTGGTATGAGACAGGGACCATGCAGTAAACTATATGCATGGAAGACTGCCTTCACTCTGTTACGTAATCAAAAAGTGAAGCCAAGGATGGCGGATTTTGAAGGCATTCTTGCGCGTCATTCTCAATCCCCTTTACGTGCCCGGCAAATATTTTTTATATTTTCATGGCGGGAAGTGATTGTTCCGCAACTCTCGGGTTGTGTTTTTCTTCATTTTAGAAGAGCAAAACAGGAAAATAAACTTCATTTATTTCATGTAAACCTGATTTTCTTCATCTAATCGATCTGTCTACTGCATTTTCCCACTGTATGTGTGAGTAAATCTGTATTTTTCGTTGCGCATTCAACACTACTACTTTTTTGAATAAACACTACTACTACTTTTTTGAATAAATCTGTGATTTTTATAAATTGGGAATTTTTTTTTTGCTTTGGTTGTTTCGCTTTTTTGTTTTTATGGTGCTTTTCAGTTTTCACACCATTATTCAGCTTATTTTAGTCCGTTTTCCTAATTCAAAACTGCTTTTTAACTGCAGTTTTCGAGGCAGTTTTTAGCCAATTTAATTCCATACATGTAAGAAAATGTTTTTTTTATTTTTATTTTTTATGTTATAAAATCGCTTTGATGATTGCCTTATAATTATATTGCCTTAATTTAATGAGTTATTTATGTGTGTGAAACCCTTGTCAATAGGGGCAATACAGATATTTTGAAAGATTGAGTGACATTTGTATTTTGTTTTGTCACTCTTTGTCACACAAAAACAACAATCTCGCGCTATTTTGCTTTCTGTTCACTCAAATATCGCATCTTTTAAATAAATAATAATTAAAATTTAGAACCGAACCCAAACAAAACAACAGAATTCAACTTTTCATTCAAATTTCATCTGTTTTTCCCCAGATTTTTACTCGAAAAGTAAAGAAAAATATAAACGTTTTTTTGACCGCGCACTTAAGGGGACTGAGAATGACGCGCAAGAATGCCTTCAATTTCCGCCATGTTTGGCTTCACTTTTTGAGCTTGAGTCAGCCTTCCATGTTATATAGTTCAGTGACAGGGACCTAGGTGTGACGTCACAGCTGAATGTGCACACCCAGGCATAAAACTTATAAAACACTTAAAGCAGCGTTCAGCGCGAGAGCCTGGGACTAGGCTGGTTACTCCTTATAAGTGACTTGTTTTTATTCTTTTATTAAAGAATAAAGAGTAAAAACAAATCTACTTTTAAAAGAAGAAAAAATTACTCCAAAAAATGGAGTAAAGGAACTAAGAAAGGAGTAAAAAAGAAATCGTTCTGTACCTTTTTTATTTACTTCACTTTTGGAGTCAATTTAACTCCTCAAAATTAACAGTGTATCTTTCGAAAAGCGTGGGGAATTACGTTATACGGAGCTGAAATTATGTCATGGAAGGCACAGTACAATACAAGCAAATGTAATGAATGCAATCAAAATGATTGTTTTTAAAATTAATTGCTTTTTCTTAAGGATCCTTATTTCTTGTACACGACTTTTAGTTGAATTTTGTAAACCAATGTTCTTCGATTCGGAGGATCCTTGCATGATAAATGCAATGAGAAGTAATAGCTATATTTGTGGTAGCCCCTGGAAAAGCGATTGTATAATATGCAGGTGAATAGACGTGCTTGAATTCGATGCTGAATCTAGTAATATTGTCCTCTGCCATAATTTGTGCATCGATTTTGTGGTTGTTAGTTATTTCGAAAGACGACTGAAGTTAATATTTATCAAGTTTATATGATTGTTTTTTATAAATCTAATTAAACTTTAGTTCCAAACTCATAAACCAGTTTAATTGTGGACATTTTATATCTGCCAAACGTTAGTCACTAAGATTGATATTGAGCGTTTTTGTACTAGCTAAGAAACTGCTCTTTAAATATAGTCTTCCTATATAATATAATAATATAATAGTATAATAATATAATATTATAATATTACATATGTGGACTAAGATCGATTATAATCAGGGGCGTAGGAACCTGGTGGCACGTCCCAATTTTTTCAAATGACTAAAAGTGCTCTTTTTTGTGATGAAAAGTGCCCTTTTTGTACAAGCTAATTGTGTCGCTGTAAATACTAAATTAATATCAAAGGTCTCCTTTTCGTTTGGAAATTTGATGACGTTCAACGTGCTCTTCTCTCTCTCGATGATAACAAAGCTGCTGGTCCAGACAAAATTCCGGCAAAGTTGCTTAGATGTTGTGCTCCATACATTTCTTCATCCCTTGCTGATCACTTCAATAGAAGCTTAACTTCCGGTAGTGTACCAGCGGAATGGAAAGTTTCTAATGTAATACCCATTCCTAAAGGTGGTCAAAAGAACGAAGTTTCAAATTATCGACCCATATCTTTACTTCCAATTGTATCAAAGGTGCCCGAGCGTTGCATATACGACCAAATGATCAACCATGTCTCAAGTGAACTGCATAACCTCCAATATGGATTTCTCAGGGGGAAGTCTACAACATCACAATTACTAAAGGTTCTATACGAGTTTGGTGAGTCACTCGACAAGAGAACCCAAACTGATGTCCTTTATCTCGATTTCGCAAAAGCGTTTGACAGGGTCGATCATCAGCTGCTTCTCAAGAAACTTAGTAATTTTGGAGTTTGCGGAAACTTGCTGAGCTGGTTTCAAAACTATCTATCAGATCGCCATCAAAAAGTTACCATTTTAGGAAAAACATCCCGATCAATACCCGTTCTATCAGGTGTTCCTCAGGGTTCTTGTATACGTGAATGATCTGCCCGAAAAGTCCACCACATCGTCTGTTGCTCTGTTCGCTGATGATACCAAGTGTTATCATGCCATAAGAACAACAGATGACGTAAAAGCTCTCCAATGTGATCTGGATGGAATCAGCCAATGGTGTCGGACGTGGCGCATGAACTTTAACGAAACTAAGTGTGGAGTTCTTAAGGTAACAAGGAATCTCAAACACGTGCAGTCATCTTACCATCCCAACAACGATAACTCAGCCAACTTAACGGTCATTTGTAAAAGGCTTGTTCAAAAAGATCTTGGCATTCTCATCACTGCAGATCTCAAATGGAACCAACAAGTCTCTGCTGTATGTGCGAAAGCAAACAGAATGCTTGGGTTCGTAAAAAGGTCCTCCATTAAGATGCATGATCCTCGTACACGTACCGCACTTTATAAAACGTTAGTACGAAGTCGTTTCGCGTACAGCTCCCAAGTCTGGTCCCCGCAGTCTGTGTCTTTAATCCTCGAAGTCGAGAAGATTCAAAGACGTGCAACGAGATTCATCCTATCACTGTCGTTTAGATCTGAAACTAGTTACCAGGAGAGACTATTGAAAACTGGCTTACTTCCTCTGTCTTACTGGCACGAGTATCTGGAATTGGTGTATCTCTTTAAGGCAATTAAATTGAATGACTCTCAGATTAGTATAGTATCAAACGCTTGTATCACCAAGCGCGCTACAACTAACAGTGTAACATTAAAACTTTCCAGAGTTAACACTTTAACTTTTCAGAACAGTTTTTATAATAGAGCTCCCAGAATATATAACTCCCTACCACCACATATTCGAGAAGCAAGTGTTACTGTCGGCCAATTCAAATCTTACCTGTTAACTTATTATGAAGCAATGACTAAAGAAATATATAACATTAATGCTCCACAAACATTTAAAAGTATATGTGTCAAGTGTCACTCGTGTCCTCCGTTGTCCAGTCTTGTGGATAAAATGTGTTGTAAATAATGTAATGTTGTTTTTTTTGTTTGTTCTTTATATATACATACTGTATATACATATTATTAGGGACCCTGTAAATGGAGCATTAAGCTCTGTAGGGTTAACCTGTCATTTATGACTAAGTTTGTAAAAAACAAAAAATTCGATGTTTTTTAAAAAAATCTGGTCAAAAACATGGAATTTCGGTATGGTATGACGGGAAACCCCCCTCCTTCGCCAACATTTCCAAGAAAAATTTTAGATGCCCTTTTCAATATCCAAAAGTGCCCCTGAAAGCTGGTGCCCGCCCCCAACCTTTTGGTGCTTCCTACGCCCCTGATTATAATGAAACCATTTTGAAACCGTTGGAGGGGGTAGCAGTGGTTGTAATGTCTCGATTTTCATCAATCAATCAATCAATCAACTTTATTTAACGAGGGTAAACACTGAACAGTATATCAACTGACTAACAAGTGGCCCTCTTATACTATAACTACATTACATACAATTAAAAATACTATATAACATGTAATCATGATAATACTATAAGTTCATAAGTTAAAAAGTCAAGATATTGTGAAAGAATCAATATCATTATACCTATGAAAAAAATAGTTAAAAATTTCATTCTTAAAAGTTTCTACAGATTTTTCGGAAGTTTTTATATGAGGAGGTATAGAGTTCCAAAGTTTACACGTGGAGACCTGGAAAGACTTTCCCCCTTCCATGACTCGGCTATAGCGTGGGCATACCAAGTTTCTTTGACTGTAACGGCCTGACGAATGGGTTTGTATGTCTGCATTTGAGGTTAGAATATCATTAATATATGATGGGCAATTTCCTTGAAACCGTTTGTAAGCTAAGACACATTTGTTCAACCTCACTTCGTCGTGAAAAGCAAGCCAATTTAGCTGCTTAAACAATGATACGCTGTTTGTTCTTGTACCGACATCCAAAATGATGCGGGCAGCACGTTTTTGCAATCGAAGAATTGTTTTCAAGTTTTCCACGGAGCAGTTAGCCCAAACTGTAGCACCATACATCATGACTTGCTTAAACATGGTGTTGTAGTACAGTTTACGTTGGTCTAAAGGAAGAAACCGTTTAATTTTCCGAAGAACGCCCAGTCGTTGTCCCAATTTCTTAGAAAGTTCTTCCACGTGTTTATCAAAAGTCAGTTCTTGATCGATAGTGACTCCTAAAAGTTTCTGGAAATGAACTTGTTCAATATCCTCGTTTTCAGACTGTAACGACAATATCTTTGTCGGCAACTTTTTGGCCAATCTCTTCCCGGTAACAAGCATAGATTTTGTCTTTTTGGCATTTATGATCATTTTGTTTGTTTTTGACCACCTTACAATGCCGTCCAAATCAAGCTGTAGTGCTGTTTCTATGGCTGTAGGTGCCAAATCCACTTCTGCGGAGTGACTAAGGGTAGTATCATCCGCATATATGTCGACCTCGGAGTGGAATACCTCTGACGGAAGATCGTTGATAAACAAAAGGAAGAAGATTGGACCCAAAATACTTCCTTGTGGCACACCGCATTTCACCTCTATTTTCGGAGAACGGGAACCATCAATATTTACATACTGCCAACGGTTTCTAAGATAGTCTTTTAAGAGGTTTAGCTCATCCCCCTGAATGCCATAATTATGTAACTTGTTAAGGAGCAGTTGATGGTCTATCAGATCGAAGGCTTTCTTATAGTCTACAAAAATTAGTCCAGTTACCTTGTTTTTATCCAGATCAAGTAGCAATTGGTCAATGAGTCTGATGAGTGCAGTTTCAGTCGAATGGTGTTTACGAAACCCGGATTGAAGTCGATAAAATAAGTTTCGTTGTTGCAGAAACCCATACATATGTTCACATATGTGCCTTTCCAGTAGCTTAGATAAAATGGGAAGCACTGATATAGGCCTGTAGTTAGACTTTTCATCTCGGTTTCCCTTCCCTTTATATATTGGGGTGACCTTAGCAACCTTCCATTTTGAGGGGAACGTTTGAGTGTTTATGCAACGATTCATCAGCTGGCTTAATGGTTCGGCTATAGCTGGTGCTGCTATTCTCATTATTTTGGCGCTAATGCCATCGTCTCCTGTGGATTTATGAACGGGGATGGATAGAAGTAACTCAATCACTCTTAATTTTGACATGGGGGGAATGCTGAATGTAGTATCGACATGGGGAATAGGATCTAGATTTGGTGTTTGTTCTATTTCTACGGGCGCTGAGGTGGACGCGAGGTTGTTTTGCGGGTCGACAAAGAAGCGATTAAATGTTTCAGCAATGGTCACTTTATCTTTTAAAGTCGTACTATATTCGGTCAAAAATTTGACACTTTCATTTTTTCCAGCATCATCATTTGTTAGATTTTTAATCAAGTTCCAAAGTTTACTGGGGTTTTGTTTATTTGCTCTGTTTTAAAATTTGTGCAAAACCATTTTTAATCCCCGAGCCGGCGGCGCGAAGCGCCGTGCGAGGGTACTAATTCCCCCCGGCTATTTACACCCGAGGAAACGAAAGCATTAGCGAAGTCTAAAGTTCATCAATGAGCGCGGGCGTCGGTCACCAACGATGGGTGGTCATCCTCACTGATCTCAAAAATATGGCGGACTG